TTTTCACTATACCACATCTAAATTGTCCTTAAAAGATGTATATTAGTATTGGACGTTATTTACCTTTTGACACTAGTGACACTAAATTAATTTATGAAGATGAGATATTATGTTTTCACCCAAAGGATGACGCGTAAAGTCTTGGATTCTCATGTATATAAAAAGTATATGGACAATTTATTGCAAGAAACATGGTCAGTGTCATAATCCAGGTAGTTATAGTGGTCATGCTAATAAGTCTGGTGGAAACCAAGGCCAGTCTCATAATCCTATTGGTCCTCAAGCTATGATTAAGAAAGAAATCAAGTGTTGTGATTGCAAACACGTAAGTCATAAAATGGTGGTTGTCCTCTTAAAAAGAAATCGGGTAATTTTTTGGTTTTTGTCTGCTTTAAAATCAGTTTTGTTAATGTTCTTTTAAATTTCCGGTAGTTAGATAGCGGTGTAACTGTTCATGTAACCAATAACTTGTAGGATCTAGTAAGTAGACGGAAGCCAAAAGAGGATGAGGCTAGTGACCTTTTTTGTCCTTTGGATGCATTGATTCGAGTCATTGCTCTATGATAAAATTTTAAAGAGCTTTTTTGGCGACAAGTGAAAAATATGCGTAGCTTCTTTTTTGAAATGGGAAATTATACGTTTATGAAAAAAATCGGCAAATGCAGATATTTGTCCTTTATATTTTTATAAAGACTAGCCTTGTTCATAATAAGGTTTCGTGAGAATAAAAAAATAAAAAAGGAATAGAGAATGGTGGAAACTGTAGAGAACAATACAAGAGCGCAAATAATTTATACAAAAAAATGATGTGTAGAGAACAAACGCAAGAGAAAAATAAAATTAGAGAGAGCAACAAAAGTAAATTTTTTTCAAAGTGAACACAGAGAAATGGAAATCATATATATCATCCTCAGCAATGCCTATAAGAAGTATATATTTCTCCCCAAAAACTTTCCACATGTAAGACAATGTGACAATTATAAGAGACTTACAAATTTTCCCAAGGCTAGCCAATCAAGGAATATTCTAGAATCCTTTCCTCCTAGATAATGTAGCAAGTCGAGGACATCAGAAAATGGAAGTCCAACTAGGTTCCTACGACGCAAAATCACCGACATTGATCTTCCAAGAAAAAAAAGAGACCTTAAGAATGACACAGTAGGACTTTCCTTCTCAAGAAGCACAAACTTTTCATTAGTAATAAGAAGCAGTTTTTGTTGGCTACTAAAGTTAACTCATTTTTAAACCAATAAGTAGGGGAGACACATTAGTAAAATACATTTCATCTATTGTTTGCCAATTATCTTAAGCCTGAGACAAGATAGATGGTTGCGGAATCGGGGACGGTACTTGTGGAATAACAGTGGATGTTGGTAGCTGGATCTCCATTGATGGAGAGTTGCGAATAACTGCAGATCTATTGTTGGTAGTTGCACCTTCATTGCTGGAGTAATTGTTGATAGTTGTATCTCTACTGTTGAAACAACAAGTGAAGTTGTTGGAATTTAGACTTACGTTAATTGGATATAGCCTCGAAGAATAGTGACGTAGCCTAAGTAGTAAATAAATAAAAGGCTTAATATTAAATATTGTGTGTGGATATGTGAGGTCCAATAACAATTTATCTGTGATGGGTAGGCACATTTTATAAATAGGGGCCAGCCTCCATTTCTCTAGCTCTTAGAAAACCCTACCACATTTTGCCTCTTGAATACGTGGAAACGGTAGACATCCCATTAGTCAAGTTCTCCGGATCGTATGAACGCGTAGCTAGTGGATAGTGGAAGTTGATCTCAGGCTTAATCATCGATCACTGTCGTTACTTTGTCAATGGAGTTGAACGGTATTCTTCCTTAAACTTTAACTCTATATTATATTGATGTTTGTGTCTTAATCTGTGTTATGGCTGCGAATTAATAATCTTACAATTGGTATCAGAGCCATCATAGTTTAGAGATTAAGATCAATATTTAATCTTGGGTAAATAAAATTATATGCGAAAAATTATTGGTTGATGTTCCTGAAGTGGCTGAGCGAATTTAATTTAGGGTTTGACTTGTTAAAATAATTTGATGACATTATTGGGTCAGCTAAATAATTGGTCTATGTATTGATTTTTCGATGACGGCTAAATGATGATTTAGCAATTAGTATATAAAAATAGACCGTTTAAACTGCTTCACTCACAATCAGATTATTTACATGTAAATTTCTAAGAATTATTGACTAGTAACATAAAAAAAGAAGAGATTTGGCAACCTTCGGAAAATGATTATATTACATTAAGCGTATCAACTTAGTAAGTATTGTTAAGAGATAAATTGAAATATTTTTGTCTCCACTAGTGTCTTATTTTACGTATAAGCTAATTTTTCTCCTAACAAAAGTTAAGGTCAAACGACGGTGAAGAAAAAATATTTTATTGTAACTATGTGAAAGATCTCTACAATTCTCACAAATCTCCACACGTAAAATAAGTTAGTAATACCCATATTTATAATAGTACGAAACTTATGTCAACTAGCAACGTGAAAGTTTATTCCTATATTAGTTCTGACTACAAATCCTATTTAGACATGAATTAAATAAATCAAATCCTAAATAACTAAGGTTTCCTACAACTTTGAATTAGTTTTTCAACATTCTCCCGCAATTCAAAGTTGTATATGTCTGACTTGTTTGTATTGTTGTCTTGGAGCACTTTTCTCCAAAATCTACTTTTGTTGAAGCATATATCTCCAACCCTCGTTGATGCACTTTGCCACCAATACTCAATTCTGTTGAAGCGCCTATCTTCAACTCACGTTGATGCACTTTTTCACCAACACCCAATTCTGTTGAAGCACCTATCTCCAACTCGTGTTGATGCACTTTGTCAACAACACCCAATTTTGTCGAAATACCTGTCTTCAACTCCCATTGATGCACTTTGTTACCAACCGTTGATGCACTTTGTCATCAACACCCAATTTTGTTGAAATACTTGTCTTCAACACCTGTTGATGCACTTTGTCACCGAAGCATGTAATCAACATCCAACTTATTTAAACCTCTCTCCAACTTTTAAAGAAAAATTTCTTCCTCTTGTGTCATTTTTGTTTGCATCTCTTTAAACTTGTTTTTTTCTTGAATCTATTTTGAAATTTTTCATCGAATAGTTTAATTCTGTTGACAACAATCTATAATTTTGCCAACATATTTTTTGGCCAGACGGGCGGCACACATTGGCTAGCTCCGCCCGCCGGCAGCGGAAGGTACTTGATTCTCTCCCAAGATCATAGAAGCTCTGATACCAATTTGAAGGAAAAATATTTCATTATATATCTCTGAAAGCTCTCTACAATTCTTTATTTCCTCCACTGATCTTCACACGTAAAATAAGCTAGTAATACCCTTATTTATAATAGTACAATACCTATGTCAACTAGAAACATGAAAGTTTATTCCTATATTAATTCTAAATACAAATCCTATTTAGATATGAATTAAATAAATCAAATCTTAAATAACTAAAGTTTCCTACTACAACTTTGAATTAGTTTTTCAACATACGGGAAATCAGATATATGATTAATTACAATTTTCATAAAATAGTGATAAAACATAACACATGATAGCAGTAAGTTAATAATATAAACTTTTTACTGAATCATTTTTTCAATTCAAATTATAACCGGATATAAAAGATCATTTCGTTATGCGAATCACAAGATGGATGATGGACAAGTAAGATTATAAGAGTGCATCTAAACCAATTATTCTGATAGATTTTTTCCCCAAGATGGCAAGAAAAACATGTGTTGCGCAGAGATCCAGTATAAGATTTAGCTTTTGCAAACATTGACAAACTTTTTTTCTAAAATGATATTTGGTTTTTAAAAAAATAAAAAGAAATTCACATGTTTTTGAAAAGAACGCCAAAAGTTAATTGAAAATATTTTTCGTAGGTACTACCATGATTTTGTGAAACAGAAATTGAACAACTAAAAATTATCATACTTCAACTAGTAAGGAACAATGATATATTTTAATTTAACCATGTAGTAAGTTTTACAGATTTTTCTTAAATTATCATCATCGACAAGACAACTTAGTCCGTTTGGCCAAACTGCAAAAATCAGCTTATCTTGAGATGTGTTTTTTCTCAATAGTACTTTTGTTGAGAAACAATTTGTGTTTGGCTAATTAATCTGAAAAGCACTTCTGAGCAGCAATTAGTGTTTGGTCAAGCTTTTAAAAACTACTTCTAAGTGTATTTTTCTCATAAGTTTTTTCAAAAAAATACTTTTGAAGAGAAACTATTTTTTTCTGCTTCTCCTCAAAAACACTTTTTTTCTTCCAAAAGCTTGGTCAAATACTTCAACTTGAAAAAAAAGTAATTTTTTCAAAAAATGTGTTTCTAGGATCGGAGAAGCTTGGCCAAACAGACTATTATTGGCAAGCATAGACGATATCTCAGACATAGTTTAGATAAAAGAGATGTGAGAAAAGTAAATATCGAGGTCAAACAAAAAGAACTGTAATCGAGATGCATAGGCACATTATAATTTTCTTCTACTTGTACTTAAAAATAGGAGATTAAAACTTCATAAACCAGAAGACCGGATAAAAGGGTGAATAAACCAAAGAACTAATATGTGAATTATTGAAAAATCTAAACAAAAATAGGTTTATATAGTCGAGAGATTTTCATATTCAACAAGATATTTTGAAAAAATTAATTAAGTTTCATATTCACGCGTGCAGTAGAGAGATTGATCTTAAAATAATTTGAAGCAACCAACATTTGATGCTAATTCTAAGGATCCTACATTATATTCTAAGTCTGCACTCTTTGTGTTTTTTTGCAGACTGCAGTAGTAAAGAAAATCTAAATGGATTTATGTAATAGACATCTTTAAAGCACAATCTAACCGATTAAAGCGTATCATTACTATATTTTCTAAACTACCACATCACTTTCGCTATGTAAAGTTATATGTTAATAGATCAACTTAACCTGATGGTATAAAAAAAAAGTTTACACTACGAGTACAGTTAAACCCAACCTATAGTTGGTTCAATTTCGAAGAACCTCATCCGAGCAGATCCAATCAATTATCAAACACCTCTTCTTAGGATTCAGCAGCACTAGTACACAAAATCAAATTGTTTAAAAAATATGAATAGCAAGGCATCTTTACTGGGCTGCAAACACCCATAAAACTTCCACGTTTAAAAGAAGCTTGCTCAAGCGTATAATACATGCCTTCTACATCTTCCCCATGACCTATGGCGTGAACAGATAATCCCACTAGAAAACTAAAGATCTTGAGTTGCTGCATTTTCTCACCAAGACATATAGCGTGGCCTGGAATTAAGATTGCTCATTTCTTGGCATAGGTGATAGCCATGGGATTTTGGGGGGTAATTTTGAAGCCTTGAAGGGCCTGCATGGCGACCGAAGACTGGACATCATCGTCAAATTCCACGAATGCAATACCTGGCTTCGCTTCAATCATTCGAACTTCCCTAAAACCTGGATACTGTTTGAAGAGCACTTCAAGCATCATACTTGTTGTCTCGTGGGGCAGATTCTGTATAAAGAGAATATTATTTGGTTCTGCAACTGTTTCTTGTGCACTTGGCCTTCCTTGGCGAGAAGCAGCCTGCAAAAGTTGTTCAACAATATGCAATTACTGAAATAATTGTAATAAACATGATCAGAACTAGTATTGAACGAAAAGAGATTAATTGTAACATATAAAATTTGTCATGAGCACAGTATTTTGGGGTCATCATAAATGCAGTCACACTGTTTTTAAGTTTCACACCGATGATGTTCCGCATAGTTGTGGACAAAGGGAAGGCAGTCTTTAGGTACAACTAAGTCAAAGAAAAGAAGCAAAAGTTGCAACGAACTTACAGCTGGGCCTCCATTACTGTCAGCTCTTGGGCCATTAGCTGCACCAGTTTGCGGAGTCTCTTCAGTACGTTTCCTTTTTTCCACTACACATTTATATGTCAAGTTAGTCCAGATCACCAATAGTCAATAATATTAACTGCCAAGAGCATTTTAAAAAGCTATGCATGCAAGGCAAATACACGTGGTTCAGGCTCAAAAACTGAGTTGAAGATTGTGACAAAATGAAGATCGTGCAAGTGGGTTAATACAGTACTCATAACAATGGCACCCAAAATGATGAAGAAATAGTAAGCGGATGTTGACAAGATCATATGCAATTTGACAGGTGCTACTCAGTGATTATGCATCTATTACTATTCTGTTAAAATCCTTAAGTTGAACTATAAAATATTCAGTCTAGCTGAATTGTAACAAAGGAATTTTGCAAGAAGGCAAATGTTAAAGGAATAGAAATTAATCAATTATATCAATTAATGTCTGTTTAGCTTGGATGACTGCTCTTAGCTTCAGCAAAGAGTGCTCTTCTTGGAATACAGGGTTCAATTTTTGACATTTCCAAAGATGAGTTGCCATAACATGCAGTTTGGGACCAATGAGAAGCTTAACAGAAGATGGAGCAGATGAATAATGTACAATAGAATGATTTCACCTTTTTCCTCTTGTTTCTTTTTCTTGTCATAGGTCCCCTCTGCCTTAGCAATACAATCTGACTTTGTTTTAGCATATTGTAACCGCTGCATTATATCAAAAGCTTAGTCACTGACATCCTTCTACTGCTCTACACCATATAAAGTGATCAACAGCAAACCCAAAGCATATTATACAAACATATAGTCCCGGAGAAAATTAAAACAAAAAAAGGCCTATCTTTCTAAGGATAGGAGTCCATAAAGTGTCTCCTGTGCACTTGTATACAGGTTTTTGAGAGGCAACTAGAGGACAGACTTTGTGACCGTACAAGCACCAAGCACAGAGACAGTTAGGACATGCTCCAAAACATTGAATATTAAAACCACGCAACAAGTTGAGACAGCTTTCCGGATAAACTATTCTAAAGGGATGCATATTTGAGACTTCTATTATTCTACAAAAGTGAGTAAATTTCTTTCCAATCAAGCATATGGTCATAAGGATTTACACAAAAATGAGGAACAGGTACAGAGCTTTACTCCGTATAATTATTTCACAACCTCCACCTACCTTTTCCTTTTTAACAATTGTTGATAAACCTCAGGTTACACCTAATTAATCTGATATTCTCTTATTACCCTATTAAACAGTTCCTATGTCTTCTTTTGCTTGTAAGGTTAAGCAGATTGTTGTGGAGCTTAGTCCATATTTTCATTTTCCTATCTATGTAGAGCTTATAGATGTCCAGATTCCTGAGAAATTCAAAATTAATGCCAAAGTATCAACAGCAAACTTTCCCATTCTAACTGGTAGGTAAATCCCCTCCACATAAAACACAAGCATACATGTATCTGATTTTTCTAATTAGAGACATCATTCATGGAAAGATCTAAGGTCAAAGTCCATCAACATATAGGCAAGCAGCAATATTTTCACTTAGTTGTGCCACCACAGGTCCACAACCATAATCAGGAGAAAAACAAATTAAAAGATCAATCAAACAATCTTTGGCTAACGTAGAAAAGGGTGGGATAGCCAAGTGGGAAGGGCCCTCCACCTCCAACCATGCGATTGGGAATAAGAGTCACAATTGAAACAAAGTGAAAAAAGCTTTGGCTCCTGGGTATGGTTGTCGGGGGGGTTGTTGAGGACTACCACATTCTTTTAAAAAAATTAGCATACCTTTTTGACAAAAACTATTTTTTAGAGTATAGCTCCTCCATTCCAACTTGGTATACCTTTTTGATGATGCACAGGTATTTAGCAAGAAATTGAAATGCTTTAATCTTCTAAGCATAAAGTGGATTCAGAAATATATTTCCAAATTCCATATTTTGATAGACTACATTATTTAGGGACACATTATAAAACCAGAAAGGGCGGTCCAAGCTGAAAAGAGACATTTTAGAAGACTATAGTACAGTACACAAGAGTAGTCGCTTTTTCTGATAGGACAAAGGATGCCACAAAGCACATTACAAGTTGATAAGGATCATATAAACATAACATTAGCATATGCTTCTCAAGGAGATTAATCATTCAGGCTCATCAGATACTTCAGGAGATAGCTAGAGAAAATAAGGAAAGAATGAAGCAGGACATTTCTGAACAGTTATGCCACAACAGCCATGTGAGTGCTGAAAACATGCACAATAGAGAACAGACTACAGTCCCAATTGTCATTACTCTCACCATAGGTTTGTCGTAAAACGGGAAGTTTTGCATTTGCCTCACAGCATTACTGGCAGCAGTTACCTCACTGAACACAACCCATGCTTGTCCTCTAAGTTTGGGAGTCTTCAGCGCCACTATATCCACAATCCTCCCATACTGAGAGAACAAGCAATAAAGAGACCTCTTTAGCTCTGCAAAAAAGAAGAAATCATTAGCATAAAGCAAAGGTCATACACCCACCCTTCTGGAAACAGCTGTAGTAATACCCACTAAAAAAACAATGTAAGAACAAATAAAAAAAAAATTAAAGGAAAATTGATGGAAGGAGATAAACGTAAAACTAATAATTGTATTCTTTATTAATTCTAACATACAAAGACAAGCCAGAGGATGTTTGGCATTTTCAGTAATTAGAAAAGAGAATCGGTTCAAAATAGCTCCACATCAGTATACATAAAAAACTCCGGGCACACCATAAACAAACAGAAAATAGCATTTGAAAGCATAACGAGCGAAAGAAAAATAGACAACCAATCTGATGTAATTAGAAGACCATTTCTTGATGCAGTATTACATAAGAGTTATAAGTTTCATTACTCGATAGAGCACTAACAGAGCAAATTCTTGAAGCTTTCTCCTTGATAATTACATATCTTTTCTTGCCAAGTTTAACCCTCAGCGCAGAGATTATAATATAGGCTTTGTGACGAAAATTTTAAAAATTAAAAAGAAAATGATCACCAGAAAGCTGGATGAAAGAGTATTTTGCCTGATGTTCATGAAAGGACTTTGAGAAGAAAAAAAAAAGAGAATTTCATGCAGGATTCGTGAATGTTACAAATCAAGTAGAAAAGAACAATGAGAACAAAAGGGCAAGAAGCACATATAAACTACTTATCACACATTTTAAAGCCAAAGAACCTGTAAATACCAAAATATTCAATTTAACAACGGCCAAACTTGTTCAGCAATACCAGATTATCGAAGCAAACCATAACTACATGCTTTGATATCATCCAAGGATAATAAAACACATTACAGTTTGGAGAACCGCAAGTTTTTAAATCTTGTAGTCAAGAGACGGCAAATTCATTGAGCATAATTTGATCAAAATGCATTGTCTTTCAACTGATGCAACTACTAAAGTAATATATTAACATTGTAATAACGAGAAGTCAGTGGCAGTTTGTATTGCATTCACCGTAAAACTATCAAATAGTAAGTCTTAGTTTAGAGTGTACAATATTCTTATATTACCGAGTTCTAGTTAGTTCGCACACAGTTGGTGTCCCCTAACACATTCTATTCCAATACTGCAGAAATTTGTGTTTTTAAGGCAAAATAGGGGTTCTGTAAACCTCACACTTATCCCCACCGCTAACATACTAGTTCAAATAATTATGCAGCTTTAACAATTGATGATTTCTTAACAAATGTATAATTTTGCTAAACCCTAGCTTAAATCTTGAAATAGTGAGAGAAAAAAGAAAAAAGCTACCTTCTTTCTTGACTTTCTCATTTAAGTTCTTAATGTAAATAGTTTGATTCGGTGGTATGTCTCCTGTAAGCATCATTACCGGAGTAGCTTTCTCTAGCTGTATCACCTCCTGCTGTTTTTGTGATTTTGTGAATGTGCGCGAGAAAATTCGAAGAGAGGGAATACAATGTGGGTTGTGGATTTATTGGTCTGGAACGAACGGGTGGGCTTGAATTGTAGACCGGCCCGTAGAAAAAATTGAAGGGTGGAATTTGCACAAGTGGCCCTTTTTAGGCCACTTTTTAAATTATGTTCCCCTTTAACCTAACAGGCTAAATTGTCAAACAATATATACTGAACTTCTAATACTCTCTATTTGTATTTGCAAAAGCGTGACATGAAATGAGATTAAATGGAGTAAAATGGTCAGTAAAAGACTCATATAATTGATTCCAATTTATTTGTAACTGAGTATAATTGTTATTGGAGTATATTGACGTAATTAAAAGAATGGCCATAAAAAGTCCATACAATAAAATAATTTGTCAATGGGTGCTTTAGTCGCATTTTATCACACAAAACTTTATGTTGATAAACCCAATCGAGTTAAATTATGCGCTAGTAATGTAAATTACTTTAATACTAACAATGCATTTTAACTGTTTTAGTAGATTATTATTCTATTTATTCAAGTCATCATATCAGATGCTTGGCATGAAGAGTTATATTTTATTTTAGGTTAACTTGACCTGACCATATAAATATTGGAATTGCTACATAAATAGCCAGTCAGATACAAATATATATATATATATNGTTCTTCATAAATGTTTTACAATGGAAATGACACCAGGTAGCCAATTTTAAGCATGATGTTTAAAATATATCCATCGTTTACAATTTATTTAAAGATTAGCCAATTTTGCTCAAACTTCAGGACACGACGTCCTAGAGTTTAAACCTCAAAATTCAAATTTTATGACATCGCGTACTAAACTTTGAATCTTATGTCCTGAATTTTAAATTAGTAATTCATAAATTCAGGATACTATGTCCTAAATTTTGATGAAATAGCTAATTTTTAAATATATTGTAAATTATGGATATATTTTATATAGCGGGATTAAAAGTGATTATTGCTGCACTTCGCCTGTTTTACACTGCTAGTTTACAGAGCATAAACTTGACCAAGCATAAACATCTTGTAACGAAAACGTTTAGCTAATTCGAGCTAATTATTAGGGGATTGTTATACAAATAGCCATTCAGATTTAATATTTACTTTTTTTAGTCGGTATACATATATAATACATAAATTATATATATATTATACCTTCGCCGGCTATTTTTAGTTTAAAAGACTAAGTGGACGGCTATTTGGGTTAATTTTTCAATTATTTATCAGCCTCTGAGGCCCAGCTCCTAAAGGGACCTTAAAATTGGGCTTACCCACACTTTCCCGTTACATGACCAAAATACCCTCTTAGAATTTTCAAATTTCCAAACCCATCAAATGCAACAGCACCACTGAACAGTGGAAGCTTTCATCCCCTAAACCCTCAAGCTCCAAAACCCTGAAGAAATGCTCCGATCAATTCTCCGAACAGCCGCTACGGCGGTGAAATCCCACCCCACCACCTTCGACATCCTCATACCCGCTGCAATCTCAGCACCTTCCAAACTCTCTTCTTCTAGAACTTTCGCAAAAGGCCCACATCCGAATAAACCCAATTTCAGACCCGACATAAAACCCGACAATGCCGCTACAGGAGCCAAAGGCGCTGAATCGCTCAACAAGGATCTTCGTGCACGCGCTCTCAAAGAAGACGAGAAGGATGAATCCCTTAATATTGGTCCATATGGTCGTCCATTGTTCACTTCCGCAGCTTCTATTTCACAACTCACCAAAAAAGACACGTATACTTACATGAAATTCAGGTACATTTAGCTCAAACTGTATACTTTTGATATGTGTTTATACTAAATTGCTTCCAATTATAACAAGTATTTAAGTTATATACACTGCAATTGTTTTTACACTGTAAATGAATTTTAACATGTGATAGCAGGTTAGGTACCATTTAATCATATTACCAATTAATGCTTATGAAGAGGTTTACGTGTAATTACCTAATAAGTAACCTGATTGTGTTAATATTTTTCACACAGTCAGTGCATAAAACTTAAAATCTCGTAACAAAGGTATAGTAGGTGCAGTGGTACTTGTTACATGTGGAATTAAAGTTTTGGATTCACTTTGTAAATTGTAAGTAAGTTGGTTTATATTTGTACTAATGAAAATGGTTGTTTTAGGAGGGAGGAGCTGGAAAGTCTTTTGGCAGAAGGATTACCAATTGGGATGTTGAAGGAATTTGGTGACTCAATGAGAGATGCATTGCTGATACGGCAGAGTTTTCTGGATCTTCGAGATAATTTTAGAAGTATTGTTGATCCTACAGTGCAGTCTAATGCTAAAGGTGCCTTCTTTGTCTTTTTGGTGTTACATTTGTTCAAGGGTTTATTACCTGTCTTACCTGAATTATGATTGAGGAGAGTTGTATTTGTAAGGTCTGACGCGTAATTTAGATTAATAGAGTATGGACTTTTACGTTTGTAGAATTCGTAGTTTGCTTTAAATATTTAGTATTGAATAATGGACCAAAATAGACCAGAATGGTTACACAGGATTTGTATAGCTGAACCCAACTAGTTTCAGATCGAGGCATAGTTGATTGATTGAGCGAATTTAGTTTTCGCGAGTTTGTTAATTAAACTGTCACCGTTCCAATTTTTTTTTTTTGTTGATTTACTTTCAGTACTAAGTGTTTAGTGGAAGGTTACTGACCGAAGATGTTAAATTGAAGATATCAGCATCAACTCGTAAGGATACCTTCGGCAGTATAAACTTCTTAAGAAATCAGAAGCAGATGGTTGCACAAGATGGTTTTATGTGATGGAAAAATTCACTTTGAAGTCTTTCGTTCCTTTAGTATGGAGATTGTTTGATGACTTGATCTACCAAGAACCTACCTTTCCACATTGCTTTTCACATTTTTCAAATTGGCTGCTTTTCCTTTTCTTTTTTCTTAATGTTGGAACAAAATTCAATGTCCTCAAATTTGGAAAAGAGTACACGAGTAGGAATTTACATCACAGTGATCACTTGTAATTTTTCTTTTCCTTAATATCTGCATTATTCTGTAACTAAAACTGCCATTACGCCCCTTCTTTTACTGCCTGCACTGCTTACTGAAGAGTCAAACATACTTGATTTCTGTCATTTCGGAGCTAAAACTGAGTCTCTGTCATGGACTCATAGATCATGTTGCAGAATAAAACTGCCCTTATAGTTACCAGATTTCATGTTTTCCCTTAATAAACTATACACATTAGCTTCAGTTGCTTTTCTCACTTCTCTAGTCCTTGGACATATTTTCTTCCACTTATTGAAATCCTCCTTAAAGTTGTCAAAAGACTATGCAGAGACCTCGTGACAGGTGATGCTGACGTCATTCAACTGGTTTATATATCTGAACAGCGACTCACCATTAGGAGAAATAATTTACGATGTTCCTCAACTTGCAGGTCACAAAGCTCGAAAGCAAGTTGTACTAGATGGGCCTGTAAGTTCTGGAAAGAGTATTGCCCTTGCAATGCTTGTTCATTGGGCACGTGATGAAGGTTGGCTAGTCCTTTACGTTCCAAAAGGCCGAGAATGGACTCATGGAGGCTTTTTCTATAAAAATCCTAAAACAGGATTATGGGATACTCCTGTGCAAGCAGCAAATATTCTCCAGGCAAGAATGCTGTATTTTTTCTAATATACGAGACTTATGATTTGAATAGATGAATTCCATGTGGTAATTAATATTATCTTACCTTATCGATAGTTAAGTAACTAAAATTGAACCCAATTTCTCTATGCTCGTTGTTTCAAATATTAGCTTACGAAATGCTGAAATGGTTTTAGTTAAGTCCATGAGGAAGTGGAAAAAGATCTTCTAGTAGGCTATATTTGGAAATTGTTTAACTTGGCACTGCTATGTACACACAGTTGGTCTTGATATGCTGCTTTGGAAAAAGAATGCAAAGTTGTTACTTCAATGTCATGTAGCAAATATGGAGAACAATATCTGCATGTTTTCTCGTGACTTTACTATTGCGCTATCTCCTCTATCAAGTGCTTGAGTTGATTGTGCTAAGAATATCTTCCCCTTTTGTCCATATTCCGTACACATGAAGGTTGTGAAAAACTTAAAGTATAATACATGTGCAGGTCTACCATAACTTTTATACTCAAACAAGATAAATTTGATACTATATTGGCCATATATTATCTTGAACTAGTTTCTAAAGAGAGTGTAATTTCCTCTATTGATTGAATTTGTTTACAAGTCTAAGAATCAAATTTTGGGATACTTTTAATTCCTCGCTCTCTTCTCAATTCAGGACTTTTTGAAGTATAATAAAGATCACCTCCAAAAGTTGCCCTGCAAAATTTTTGAACCTATTCCATTGGGAGAGGGAGCTGGTGTTGGATGGATGAAGGGTGCTGATGTGGTACAAATACCAGAAGATTATACTCTGCTTGACCTGGTTCAAGTCGGACTTAGTTCCACACACGCCGCTGTTGGGGTGGTAGTTCGTTTAAGGGAAGAATTATCACTTGTGAAGGACGTGCCTGTTCTTATTGCAGTTGATCAAGTGAGAAAAAAATTCTCTTCACTGTGATTGTGTCTCTTGTCTCTGCCCTTTGAATCATTCCCGAGATAGGGCTAATTTCCTTTTTCCTGATTTGTCTTTTGTTAATCGACAGTACAACAGTTGGTTCACGTTCAGCGAGTATGAGGAGCCAGTAACTGTTCGGTCTTGCCGACCTATTCATGCTAAGGAACTTGCAACTGTAAGATGCGCTTGAAGTGTTCTAGAATGTTGCTTCATTAATTATTTACACAGTTCTCCTGCCTTTATTTTCTTCGCGGTCAGTTTGTTATGATTTTTGAGCAACGAGACACTGTGTTTAATATAAAGATGTTAGGCTGCTTAATTGGATCTAGGATGTCCTTGGTTCAAGTTTATATCGTGTGGGCATCCTCTTTCTGATTCCACGTTTTTCGATCATTTTGGCTTGGAACACTGAGAATATAAAAACTGAATGTTAAGAAG